AAAACTTATAGAAATTTAAAATCGATTACAAAATTCCACCCGGACAGACATACACGAAGGCAAGTTTATATAAACGTGGTAAAATGGACCTTATGATAGTTCAAAGGAAAATAATTTACCAAATAGCGAAAGCAAAATGTTTCGACATTTTATCTCCAATAGATATTCTGACGTTTTTTTAGTAAAAAAATTTAAATTGGAACGCACAATTAAAAAGAAGAAAACAAACTAAAATTGAAATTCTAAAATGACTTCAAGTGGACTGAAGTGGAGTAAGAAATGCCGTGGCTCAGTATTTAAAGCACTGAACTATCATTTTGAAGGATTGGGGCTCGATCCCTAGTGACGGTTTGAGGCACAAACAGCTTCGTAACATTTCATACGTAGGTGCATCAAATATAAATGAAACTTTTTTAAAAGCAGCACACGATTTTTATTCTGGTTATCATGGCAACAATAGAACTTAATCTAGCCTTTTAATCATTGTTTGATAGTGTTTAGTTCTTCGTAAGTTCTTTTTTTTTAGTAGATTGAACCATGAGCGAGCCTAATGTTCTTAGTGCAATTGTACAGCGCACAATAATTAAATTTTTAACAAACGAAAATATAAAACCTATTGGAATTTGAGCAGATTAAAGACGCAGTTCGGCAAAGATATCAAGTCAACAGGCCAAGTATGCAAATGATGTACGCAAAGTTGTGCTGAATCTTGGGTGCATACCTACTCCCCAGGAGCTAAGCGTTCCAATATGGAATGGCGTAAGAAAAATAAATCTGCTCAATTCAAAGCAAAATCTCGTTTAACTGCTGGTAAAGCATTCGCAAGTGTTTTTTGGGACTTACGAGAGGTTGTGTAAGTTGATTTTCTTCATTAATTGCAAACAATTAATGTAAATTATTATTGTGAACTTTTAGGGAAAGTCAAAGCAGCCTATCTCTTCAAGACATATGGCATGCACATCCACAAAATTCTCTTTTAACTGGACAAGGTGACACCTTATGAAGCCACATAACAAAAGTTACAGGTATTACACATCCTCTATATATCCCACACTTGGCACCTTTGAACTACTACTTGTTTGCTCTCATTAAAGATGCCTTGTGGGCGAGAGATTTTCATCCACTGAAGAGTTAGAAGATTTTGTGCGCAATTGGTTTACAACACAGCCTACTTCTTTCTATGCCACCAGAATTTTAAAAAAACTTCTAAAACGATGGAAAAATTGCGTCAAAGTTCATGGAAGTTATTTAGAAAATTAACACTTTTGATTTTTTTGTTAGTGATATTTTAATATTTAATTGTTAAAAAGTCTCATTTATATTTCATCCACTCTCGTACCAACTTGTTTTGGGAATTACAGATGGACTACGATCATACCCTCCAACTTATGAAGATTTTGAAAATAATTCTTTCTAGTGGTAGCGAACCAAAGTAGAAATTTTTAAAGCAAATGGATCTCTCATAAAACTTTTATCAGAACTTAAGAATCTAGCCATATGGCTTGCACTTTTATAAGTAATAGTGGACAAGTTACGCTAAAATTAATTTTTTTTTAAATATTAAGACATTAATTTTGCTACCGTTTGAAAAGAAGATTTCTGACACTACGGAAATTCCGTAGCAGTTGGAGGGTATGAACGATCAATGCTGATCCCACTGCTACAATATTATCCCTTAGGCCATGAAATTATGGAACCTTAGTCTCCATGATTACCCCCCCTCACAACGGGTCGTTGATGGAATTCTTTGCTTTACTTTAAAATGGAGTAAAGAATTCTATTTTGTTAGAATAAATACCAAAGTTTCGAGTGCATCACTTTTGTAATGACCTTTTATCACAGTCAAAAAATCATCTCTTTTCAAATTCATGGGCCAACATTTTATGTTCTCTTCTCCTATTTAACCAACTTGAAGAATGTAGTTTTAAAATTTTAATTTTATTATGTAGTTTATTTGTATCAATCTTTATTTCTTCAGTATACGTACCAGAGTTCGTTCCTGTAGTGTGATCTGTTTTGGGTATATCTGAATAAACAGATATCTTAGGACTTGTAATTATCCATTCTGCGTGCAAATCATTTTCTAAGTGCCAGTGGGGACACGGTACTCCTTCGAAATCACAACGTGCAACGAATGCCTGGCACTTAAATTCCTTTTCATCGCTGTAATCTGAACAGTCGTCATTGAAGTCACATAGTAGATTACCCTCAATGCACTTGTTGTTTTGGCACATGAATTCTGAGTCTTGACACTTTTCTTTGTCGGGATCCACCGTGATGGATGGTTGGCAATTTTTAAAGGCGATACCGTCTAGACCGATGACACTGGCAAAAGTAGATGGACGACTGGCTTCAAAGCGCACTTTGTAATTTTTCAATGAACCCAATAGAGTCTTAGCATGTATCCAATTTTGCACGTACTTCTCTATTCAAAGAAACACCAATAGAAAGAGTTAATAAAATTATATATTTCTACATATTATAGTGGATAAAATATAGTTATATTTAGTATAACATGTGTATATAGGATCTTTTACGCAATACTTGAAAAGGCAATTACTTAATCACAATATAATTATTATTTTAAAGGTAACTTATAAATTTTTTTCTGGGTAAATTTTTATTAATGATAAAATTACGCATAAAATAATATTGTATTTTAGACGAAAATTTTTCAAGTTCTTTAATTTTGCAGGTGTAGGGTTTTTACGAGTATGACCTGGAAAAAAAATCGATAAGTTGTTGCAAAGTTTTAAAGACCACTAAAAGAAGGTTTAAACTCTTAATTGCGAGCTACAAAAATTTTCTAACTTCTTTTTTTACATCCATATATATTTACCTTTAAATATTTTTTGTTATAACTTAAACAAAACTATAAATAATATAGCACATTACAAAACTAAAAAATATAGCAAATTAATATTTTTCTATATTTTTTCTATCACCCTAAAATTTTTTCTAGATTGTGGCAACTGTTGTGAACTAGTAATTATATAATGCTCACTTCCAAATAAGTTGACGTCTGAATTCCAAATTTCTTGCTCCGAGTCTTTTTCTTTACTCGTGAACACTTTAAGGTCGCAAGTAAAGATTCCACAGTATATCCAAAAATCTAAAGCACAGTGCGAATGTGTTTGTGAAATTCTTGGTGAGACGAGGGAGGTGGTGTCCCTACGCCTTCCAAATGCACCATCAGCCAAAAGATACCATCCTTCTGAAGAATTACTGGTGTGATCTACTTTTGGACGATTTTTCAAATTGACCTAAATTCAAAAGATTTTTCATGAGAAGATTAAAAAGAAACTGTCTTTTAAAACTAAAACGTTTTCCGAATGTAAATAAAATTACAAAAATATTATAAATAAATACAAAAACAAAAGAATCCTGGATGAGAAAATTCGGATCTTATTTGTGCTATCACAGGTAACCCAGTGTTCAAAAGCGTATTTTTTTTACATTCTTCCATGTAAACAATATAGAGGAACGATATAGTCGATTGACTGTCATAAACACAACATTTTAAAGTGTGGGTGGGAAAAACTGCGTCAACGGATGTTTTTCCTCTTGCTGTCCTATGGACTGGATTGGCTATTTTATTACTGTTATAAAGTGTACCAAGCAAGTGCTTGGGAACTTAACACTGGGGGTTCCGCGTTGGGTTGAACACCCCACCGGAACATTTGCTCTTGCACCTCAGAGCCCAAACGTCAAGAAAACTGAGATGGGCACAGTAGGCCTTGGCCCTCTATGAGCTGTTGCACCACTGAGTTTAGTTTAGTTATAAAGTGTTACGAGTTTTGAAGCGTTTTTAAAGAGTATTGAAGAGTTTTTGCTTTGTAGAATTCGAAGCGTTTCTGATTTGTTAACTAAACCAATTTTCTAAGTTTCATTTGCTATATAAAACAATGCCTTCTAGCAAATTACACCATTTTTATTACTGCTACGAATGTTTAACAGTTATTCATGAATGCAAAATTAAGTTTTGGCTATCTGTAGTTAAAACGTTCCAAGCTGATTCTGAAAAGGGAGCAAAATGACAATATAAAGAAGAGCCATATTTTAATGAAAATAAAAAGCATTTGTGATCTAATTTTTTTAATATTTGAAAGCTATCGAAATTAACTGCCTATTAATTGACTAAAGTATTCCAAATTAATTGGTTTTATAACAAAATTGAATCAAGTTAAAACAAAATAAATTCTCAATGTCTGACTCTATAAAAAATAAGTTGCTTTACTTTGTTATACTCGTCCTTGGCTTGTATTGTTATCCATTGGTAAATACTGTTATCCGTATATTTTGTTTCTTTAATATCCTCACTTTTTTGTTGATGATGCACGATCCATCCACATAAATCATTCTCCTCAAAGTCGCAAAAATCTTTGACTGAAACAAAGGAAAATTTTTAAACAAAAAATAAATTTTCGAACTGGCATAAGAAAACTTAATTGTTTGAATTTGACAAACTTTTGAAATATTTCTATTTTTAAAATATTATTGCCTATTCGAAAGTCAACTAACTGTTTTGGCCCTTAAATAGAGTTTTGCTTTTGTTTGTCATTTCAATGTGACGTTATGGCTATAGATATAGGCTGTGGAAAGGAAATTATTAAACCGATTCAGGGTACACCCTCTTTTAGAAAAAAAATCCTTCTCCAAAAAAAAAAAAAAAAAAAAAAAAAAAAAAAANAAAAAAAAAAAAAAAAAAAGATAACGAGAGTCTCCGTACGTGCCGCTTTAGCGCTAGATTATGTGATCAAACATACAAGGTTCGTAGCGCTGCGCTGTATTGGTTAAAGCTTTTATCATAAAACATTCAACTATTCAAATTTTAGATTCAATAATAGCGTTTTTAGTAACTAATTGTCCATTGCCATAGTTCTTTCTATAACCTTTAGGATCGGTAGATGGAGGAATTTGTGCTTCCCAAACTCACACGATCAGAGTTGGTATGCACTGAAGAGTACGTATAGGATGCAATCCGATAGTATTGTATTAACATCACGTCAGTGTAATCTTGAAGGCCCGTCATACAGTGGGCCCTGAAGAGAAACTCACGCGATCACGTAATTGAGATCACAGTCCCGAAGGAGAATTAGGAGGACCGTGAGTTAAGGAGCATTTAAAAAAAAGAATCCTGAAAGGTAGAACATTTCTAAATACAAATTTACACTAACTGAAAAAGAGATTGTGAATTTCAATGGTTTAGTTTCCATTATTTGTTAGTTTGCTTGTACTCTTACCAAACACACACAGATCTTAACCTGGTATTGGACCAATACCTCCTAGAAGAGAGAAAACGTCAGCACGTATTACCATTAATAAGAAATTTGATCCTTTTGTGGTCCAACCGTAATCACATCTTTCGTAATTCCTCCCACTGTGAAGCTTTATATCCCGAACTTAATGACAACTTTTTATCTTTCCTCAACTGCGCAGTTCGTTACGTCGGACTACTAAATTGATTCTCGGTAAGGCCTTCTTTCCTCTAGCAGGTGTTGATTGGACACTATCTCTCTTACGAACTTCCCTTTACTCTTTTGATTCTTGGGGTTATCACTAAAAGAGGCAGCTAAAATTTTTTTCTTATCATAAATAAAAATGAACCACGATTTCTTTTTACAGTGTATATTCGGAAATCTAATAAAAATAATAGCTTAAAACCAGTAGTTTTTTAAAAAAACAATTCAGTAATATTAAAATATTTTTCTATTGTACAGACACTACTATTGACGTTATTGCTAAACGTGAGAGCAAACCTATACTTGGGGTGAATAAACGAATGTGGGAGGCATTTTTTGAAATGCCCTGAATAACTTACCAGGGCTTTATCTCTTCGAACGTTGAGGTTTCTCCGTATCAGCAATCCAGTAACTTATAAGGACATCTCGCAGTCCAATCAATATATCCTTTTTTTCTCTTAATGGGAAAGACTTTTACGTTTTAAGAAGAGTTGGTAATGTTTTTAGAACAGATTTTGAGATGAGTTGGTAATGTGAGCTGAGTTCATGTTTCACGTGTTTATTTTTAAATTAATCCAAATTTATTTTAATTTGTATAAAATTAAATAAAAAGATAATGGTCTGTATTTTGAAGTTGTTAATACAACAATATCTACTAGATATTCATTCTCAGACAATTTAATTATGCTTTGAATCATTAATGAGGTACTTTGAAACATAATGAGAAGCAAAATTGTTGTTACTTTAATAAAGTAAAATTTAGCACCATATTAGGACTGACTCTTTAAAGTTTTTAATAGTGTAAATGAAGTACTATAAAGTGCCAAAATGATGGCTAAGTGCCAAAATACTGACTTACAAGTCATTATTTTGTCACTTAGATCTACATTGAGGTGCAAATTTTCTGTGACCTTAATAAACAATTAAATTGAACCATGCTTCCGTTCACGTTTAACAATAGTATAATGTGGCTCAATAAAGAGTTAAATTGAATAATGTATCCGTTCAAGGATAACCTCAATATCTTGTAATCAATTTTGAGAAATAAGATAAGATGGCATATTTTAGCACCATAATAGGATTGACGCTTCAAAGTTTTTAATAGTCTAAATGAAATATAAAGCTTACACGCCATTATTTTGGCACTTAGAACTACTATGCCATGCAAATTTGCTGTCACCTTGATAAAGAATTATATTGAACCCTGCTTCTGAGCACGTTTAACAATATTATTGTGCAGAAAAAGCTTAAGAAAAAAGATAAGATGGCTCAACCTGGCACCATATTAAGGCTGGTGCTTCAATGTCTAATATAGTATAAGTAAATTACAAAGTCATTATTATGGTGCATTGAGCCATAATACGATGCAAATTTACTCTCACTATTAATAAAGCACTGAACTGAATCATGTTTCAGCTCAGTTTTAACCATAATATCACGAAATTAAATTAAAAAAATAAGATAATGTACCAGAAAGCTCCATACTAAAATTGTCGTTTCATAGTGTGTAAGGCTGTATGTAAAATACTAATATGAATTAAAATTTACGAATAGAGCGAACTTTTGTCATGTTCATGAACTCTTGTAATTCTAACAGATATTTGAAATTAGAAAAATGCCAAATATCTGTTCGACTGTGTAGTTAACTGAAACATGATTCATAAGTAATATAAAGTACATGTTGAAAATCAATACATAATAACACATTTTAAAGTAAAACTATTTCAATAAAAACATTTCAAATACAAAGCCCACATACCGCAGTCGATTTCATCACTTTTATCACTACAATCATCTCTGAAGTCACATTTTTTTTCTCCAGATATGCAAACTTCGTCTTTTTTGCATAAAAATTGTCCAGGTTTGCATTTCGCTGGTAACTGCGTCGTAATTTCAAGTGTCTTTGTCACTTCCTTTGGCGGTAAAGTCGTGTATTTCTGATGCCTGTCAGATGCGTAAATAAAACAGACAAATGGTTAAAAATTTATTGATTGCCTTAAGTAAAATTGTGTTTCGATGAAAACTTACCAGTATCAATCTAGAGTATATAGCGACAAAACAGTAAATAGCGTCAAAAATAGCGGTTAACAAACATAGCATCAATAAATGAAACTGCCAAACTTTGCGTTTATAGTGAAAAATTGTCATGTGGTGATAAAATAGCGTTTTGCTTTAATTTTGAAATTTTTTTTTAATTTCTCCAAATCGTATAACAACCGAATCATTAGCAACAAATACAGAAGAATTATATTAAGTATAAATATTTGTATACATGATTGAATTATTTTTACGTTGTGGGGAAAGAGAATTTTTAATTTAAAAAAAAATAAACTTATTTGAAATGTATGGCCTACTCATTTATTACTCATCATCGTGAAATTTTTATTATATTATTTCCTTTGCAATTAAAAATGTCATCCTACTGGTTTAGTGAAGCAGTAAAGTTATCTCATATCCACTTTAATATCGGGGTATAGAATATACATGATGCCTATTTATTGAAAGCGATAGCATTTTAAATTAGTATAACATCCCGGTTAAGAACTCTTAATATATCATTATACCTTACTCCACCCCCAAAAAGAGTTAGAAGTGAAATAACTTTGCTGCTAGTTTTTTTTTCAGGGGAATTAATAACTCTGCAAAGATATATAATAGTATGCACTAAATATTGAATGGTATAGTATCGGTTAAGGGTTATCTAAAATTTTGTAAAAGTATTTTATTTTAAAACAATCAATTGGTTAAAAGTAATTAAAAAAAACTTATCACGGAGATAAATTTTAATAGTCCTGTAAACTTGGAATTATTTTCCTTCAATATATCGTAAGAAGAAAAGGGAAAAAATGTCGGAAACAATACCAGATTTGCAAAAGGGGGATAAGCTATACTTTGTGATACATTAACTAAGAATAATAAAAAAAAGTGGATAAAGCTGAATAAAGAAAGTACAAAAATGAATATAGTATGTCCATTTCTGTGCTTTATTTGCCTTAAGAATGTTTATTTCTGTACTTCGTGCTTTTTTCCCTTTGTTTTTTTTTCTTCACTTTAATATCGAATTCGTTTATTAACAGTCATTTCAGTTTATTTCCATTTTACCGCATTTTCTTCATTCCGCTATGAGATGGGATGAAGTGTTCCACTATCTTAAAATAATTTTTAAATCATACACTAAGAGTAATAAAAGCGTAATTAGTGTAAATTTTTAACTACTCGTTCACTAATTTGAAAATAAATTATTCCGTGTTTTTCAAGTACAACTGAATAAAGTTTTGAATAAACGCAAACCAACCAATGTTCTACAGCTCTTGTTATTTTATTATTATTATTATTTTATACGAATAGCGTTTAAAAACGATGAACTAATAACATTCGACTGATTTAATATTATCCAGAAGTTGAGAGACATAACAAAGAAAAAAGGTAATACATTACGATCAACCTGTGGGGACAAAAAGCAACCCTATAAGAAGCTCCGAATTGCGAAATTGCGATACATTAGATGAAAGAGTGACAGCTGAGGTTACTGTTGCTAATAATTTCTCTCGTGTGACAAACACATGAGTAAATAATATGACTAATATTAAGATTCTAAATTAAATGAGATTTTAACAAATAACTTACTTGCAACCAGCAGTAAAAGAAATATCATCCACTGCTATTAGATCAGTAGCTGAAATTCCCGCCTTTCCTTCTATAATAACTTGGAATGGTTTAGGTTCATTCAAAATCACAGAGCTTCTTAACCAAAAGTTTCCAGTCTGCTCACTTTGATACCAAATTTTAGTAAATTCACCATCGTTCTCGTATCTGGTATATAGGGTGAGTTGATTGACATTTTCACCATACATGAAGTAAAAGAACCTCATTTCGCATTCTCCTTCCCCAATAATTGTAAAAACATCAGATAATAACCAAGCTTTTTGGTTCAGGCTGCCTTTGTAACCTCTAGACATAAAAACGTAGTGACCACTTGAATTTGAAAAGGTATGATCAAAAGGTGGTCCAACTCGAGACGAAGCATGGCCTGGGACAGAGCCTGATTTCATCTGCCATGTGAGTGGAACAGATTTACTGGGAGACGCGGGCTTAAATAGATCAAATCCATTTTCAAAATCGGTTGAGATATAATTCTGGCTCGCACAATCATCTTCATCGGTCTTGTCCCCACAGTCATCAACCAAATCACAAAATTGTCCATAATTGATACATGCTTTCGTTTTTTTACAAAGAAATCCAAGGCATTTATGGCTGTTAGCTTTAGGTAGATTACATTCCATAAATTCAATATCATCAATTGCAACGAAGTCCCACCGACTCATGTCCCCTTTTTTATAGATATTAATTGAAAAATTGCCATCACGCCTACCTATACCAAATATTTCTTTTCTCCAAGTTTTTGACTGCTTGAATAAAATCATATCTGAAATCTCATTTTCTGTTTGAAGGTATATTTTTGGTTTCATTGATTTCAATTGTGCAGAATACCACAAAGAAAACTTACATGTCCATGCGGATGCACTAAATTGAGGGCTGCGGTACTCATCAATTGGAGAATCTTTTTCTTCCAAAGTCGAATGAATTATTAAATAGGAACCCTTGCTACTATTTGTGCTTTTATCTGTTTCTGGAGCTCCTTCCAAAATAGTTTTGGCATTCTCAGCAACTATTACATTTATTTCTATACCATCTTTATCTTTAGTCACAGCTTCCCAACCACAAGTAGATCCTAATTCAAAGTCACAGAAAACTGGGCAATGCTTTTCATCAATACCATAAGGACAGTCTGGCTTGAAATCACACACAAGATTCATTGCGATACATGAATTATCTTCGCATGAGAATTCTCCTCTTTCATCACAAACACCCTTTGGTAGTACAGTAGGTATTGGAGTCGTAAAAACTGTGTACATAGGAACACAGTTATGTGTAAATGATACATCATCTATAGCAATTTCACCTTGACGACCGTATGTGGGAGATCCTTCGATAGCTATTTGAAAATTGTGCATACTTTCTAAGACTATGCCAAACATTCCCCATACATCTCCATCTGTCCCGTTTAATGTTATTAATGGTTTTAAGTGAATATCATCAGCGTACTGTAAGGAAATAATGATCCTACTAGAAGCAGTTGAGTAAAAATGATGCCAAAATCTCAATGCACAACTTCCAGATGTATGTGCTAGGAAAGCGGTACTAAAAATGCGAGCATTTGTAGAACTGTAAATGCTTCCTTTTGAACTCAAAAGAAAGTGCCCAGTTGCATCATTCTTTGTATGATCTCTGTCAGGTCCTGTGCCTTCAGTAACCTGTTCACCTGATGTTAATTTCCATCGTGATTTTAATGAAGTATCATGATACCAACTGCACATGCCATTTTCAAAATCACACCTTTCTAAATACTTAGAGCAGTTGGTTTCATCGGAACCATCAAGACAATTTAAACTGAAATCGCATACTTGAAAGTTAGATATGCATTCTCCACTAAGACAAAGGAATTCATTCTCGAAGCATTTTCTTTTTTCAAGTGGCGCACATTTGGACATATAAATTTCATCGATTGCAACATCCTCCTCATTTAAAACATGAGAAGTTATAAAATCTAAGCGCCAACCTGGATCTCTCCAACCAATGCTCACCGTAGTATTTTTCCACATATTCCTCTGGTTCATGGTTTCACGCCACAATGTCACATCATGTTTTTCAGATGTTTGCAACTGCAACTTAAGAGAAGAGCTGTTTTTAGACATCCCTGACATAAAATAATAGAAACTGATAATACACGAGGAAGATGCATGCTGAAATTTAGTGGACCTAAGTACAGCTTCACTTGTAACAACTCCAGTGTATTCATTGCTCACATACATATAGTAGCCATTACCGGACACGTCAGATGTTAATCCGTTTATTCCATTTGAACCTTTCATTCTTTTCCATCTTCCACTTTTAAAATCCGACCAGCCACAAGTGGGGTTCAAATCATCATCAAAATCACACGTTCCACAGTTTATCTCATCTGAAAAATCAGTGCAATCAGTAACAAAGTCACACACTTGGGTTAAACTAATGCAAGTTTTGTCAGCAGGACATAAAAATTTATCTTCATCACACTCTTCGACAGGCTTTTGAGTAGATATTACCAAAATATTAGGTAAGGACTCATTCGAAATTTTGCAGCCTGGTGTGAAAGAAATATCGTCAACCGCCCAGCCTCCTTTTTTAGATGTTGGACCTAACCGGCTTTCAATAATTATTTCGAAAGGGCTTGTGATATTTCTCAGAGGGACTATAATTTTCTCAAAGTGTTGACCAGGAGGTTCTCGAGTAAGGAAAAGTGTTCTCCAGGCACTCTTTTCATCATGTTTTAAATGAATTGAAAAAGTTCCAATGTCTCGTATTATGTCGTATTTCGTCGAATTATAACTAGTTCCGTAACTGTAGAATAATCTTAAATCGCAATCGTCAAAACTCTCGATGACTGGTGAAGAAAGTCTAGCTACTGATCCCGTTTTGAGAAAGCCACTCCGGAAATACAGCATGTGTCCGCTTGCTGAGTTCGTTGTGTGGTCTCTTGGTACCAGGACGCTGTTCCAAAATGACACTAAATTCGGTTGTAAAATTTCAAATTTATGATCTGATTGAGGGCCCGTTTTCCATTCGCAGTAACTATCTCTTTCAAAATCGCATCTTCCAGGGTATTCATCGCAGTTAGCTGTAAGTTTGTTTTCATCAGAATAATCTCCACAATCATCGACAAAATCACAGACCAATGCTCGTGCAATGCAGTTTCCATTACCACACTGAAATTTGTCCTTAGAGCATTCCTTTATCTGCTTGGGAGGTCTCAGTATATGACAATTTTCAAAACTTATATCATCTAATGCCATAACTCCTAAAGTACTCTCCTGCTTTCCCTTGAAACCAATTTTAAATCTGTTTTGCAATCTTCCTACTACTACTTCAGCTTGTTTCCAAGAGCGTTCGTTTTCTCCCTCTAGTTTAAATATCTCAGTTCGTGAACTGTGATGAACGGATTCGTAATAAATTGTCAGAGATTCAGAACTAAATGTGCATCGCAAATAATACCAAAAGAACATTTTGCAGGATGCAGCTGATTGAATGAGTTCAGGACTGTTAAAGTGAACCTGTATCGAATGCCACCAGTTGTTTAAACGCGCGATGGATAAGTAATAACCGTCTCCCGATGTTTTTTTGGTATGATCAATATAAGGTTCAACAGATTCATTTGACAATGTCTGATTCCAAGAAGCTAAATGCGTAGTTGTTGTCCAGTTGCATGGATTTGGAGCAATGGTTTCAAAGTCACACTGATGTCCGCACCAATTTTCATCTGTGCCATCAGCACAATCCTTGTAAAAGTCACACCTTAAATCATCTGGAATATGCGTGCTGCCATCATCACAAGTGAAATCAGGTTTTCTAGCTACAATTGGAATACATTCGCCGTCATAAATATCTATATCATCTAAGGCTATAAAGTTGTTGGCTAGAAATAACACCCTGTAATTGAAGTAAAAGGAATTAGATTTCTACTCTATAGTTTTTAACCCCTTAACAGTGACATATATTTCAGAAAAATAGACCAAAAATGGAAAATTTTTTGACTGTTTAATTTTGTTCTTTATATTATTATAAAATGGTTTTCTATTACAAAAATAAAATTTTAAATGCAATACATACTGTATTTATAATTTTTACAAAAACATAAAAGAGTAATTGATTACATACACATCTTATTCAATTAGAGCAAATTGAACAAAATTTTGAAGCTAAATATAACAGAGATAACAACTTGCTCCGGACAGCAAATATATATTTTAAAGAGGTAGTTTGTCAATTGTGATTCTTGATTTAATAAATTCAATTTAGTGGATTTTTATCCACCACTATTTCTAAATAATTTGTAGGCTTATATAATTCACCACTTTACAAATATTTTAATCAAGCCATACCTTTTAAATAGCAAGCAAAAATAGTCAAATATTTGCAAAATTTACTTTGTTGCTCCTTACCGTTTTTTTAATTATTTTGTCTTGTCCGGAGCAGTTGGCATCTTTGATATAATATAACTAGTATAATATAACACAACTAATATAATATAATATAAAAACACAACAATATGACATTCAATAAATAAATTTTACAAATCTTTTACAGTATGGTATATCCCAAAACACGGTACTGCACACAAGCCTATATCGCACTCTTGGCATCTCCCACATTTTCCCTCCCTTGACTGCAGTCGTAATCGGTGAAAAACTAGGACCACTAATGCCATCTATTAGGAAAATAGTGAATTAAGTATCCTATAGTAGAAACGAACACAGCTCGAACTTTACGAAACAGAAACGTTAATTTTTCTCCTGCCTGAAGGGCATCACCAATACCACACGTAGTAGTTGCCCGAACTGGATGATCTGGATTCGGATGACACTGGAAAGGGGTTAAAATGTCTTAACTGTTTTAGAACAGTTTTTGAAAATGTAATTGAATAATGTTAATTTCTTTTTCATGAATTCTATTATTTAGAACACGATAATACTCTGCCCCCCCTGCTCGCTCCGCACAACAAATCCCCTTATTTATCTTTGAATTTTTCCCTTTAAAATCAATATTTCTTTAAAAAAATGATCACATTTTTTATAAAATATATAATTAATATAATTTTATTAAAGAACATTTTGTTAATCGTAACAGAATAAGCGATTGTTTGGATTTGAAAAATAATCAACCATGCTTGAAAAAAATAATTAAACTTAGGAAAAGACAGTAGGGTGTCCCATTGAGTGGCCCACGTGGTATTTTTCTCACAAGTTTGACGTTTAATGATTCTCGAGTTAATTATTAATATTTTAATAATACTTTTTAATATTTAATATAATAATTATAATTTTTATTATTTAAGAATCTCAAGCTAATGAAATTTTTTATTCCATTGCATTCCCTGTACATTTTTTTACACATTTTGTCAAGTTTCTAAGTATAGTGGCTGTAGCGGTGCTTGCAATTTTTTTAATATAGAGAGAATTATCAGAATAATTATCATTGTAATCGTAATGTAAATCATAAATATTTATATCATTTAATGCCATAAAGTTGCTTACTCCGTAACAAAAATAAAAATTAATTTTTTTGTTTTACAGTTTTTTTTGATTTCGTTGATAGTTTAGGATGTACTTAGAAAACTTAAAATTAAAACCAAATTTTTTAATTTTTCCTCTATGATTATTATTTTAAAAATTTTGGAAACATTCTAATCTACAATCATAAAATCATCGTGTGTAAAATTTTAAATATCGGAATGGGTATCTTATGTCGCCAAAATGGTCCGAAAGTTGTGAAACTTGCCTGAAAATGCTTTAAATTCCAAAAATTACTAACTGCGGATTTACGTCGAACACTGGCTTGGTAAGGTACGATTCCCAATAGATCTCCGAAGTCAAGCATCACTGGCAGCAATCAGTGAGTGAACAGGTGACTACTTTAACCAGCTTGCGAAGGAACTGAGATAGTGTTGTATCGGTTTTCGTTAAACTGGTCTACCATAAAGTGCTCGACTTCGTGCGCAAGTCATGAGACTACCAAAGCGGGGGAGACATTCTCCGCATGCAGAGAATCAAAATTGTGATAGCATGTCTTCAGATTACTCTTAAAGATAAGACCGTCACCTATAGGCTAATGTGCATCTGTAGTGTTGACGTAAATAAAACAACTACTATTGTATTTAGTAATACTTACGCGTCAGTAAGTTGAGCTTCAAATATGATTTGATATTTCCCCATAGTTATATTCTTTTTCAGTTGTACTTGATATTCATTCCATCTTCCTAAGTCTTCTCGTGTGAAATGCTGCAACTCCACTATCTCATCCTCTTTGTCTGAATACAGTAAAACGACGAAAGCTACATTGAAATTTGTACCATTTCTGTACAGATAGTAGTCCAGGCATCTCATCTCTTTTGGCGAAAAATATGGAGAAATCAGTCTAGCCGGTTGAGGATTTGATTGCCTGGATTTCATTACATGGACAAACGCGTATGTTCCGAACAGGGTCCCAAGAGTTGTGTCGTTTTCTGGCGCCGAGTCCGAGGTTTCACCTGATCCTCTTATCCACTGTAAATCTGAGTTCGGACCATTTGTCCACAAACACATGTCTTCTTCAAAATCGCATGAGCCTAAAGGTGGACATTTATCTTTGACTGATATATCGTCAATTGCAATTGTACCGTTTGAGAAAGCAAAACCAGATGTAACCTGCAATGAAAATAGATTTAATATAACTTCTACTTTATAATTAAAAATTTGAAAGGTAAATTGTTTCGGCGAGTATTTTTTATGTTCCGATTGGTCAAAATGCCTATTTAAGAAGATTTACATTACGATAAAAACAGAAGTGTGGTAAATCCTTCTAAAAAACTTCTATTGTAGCAGCTTTACATAAGTCTGAAGTATGCTTTAAAATGGTTCCATTTCAGGCTCTTACGAAGCCTTGTGGTTTAAACCTAAGCGTTACCAAGCAACTTTGGTAAATCCTAAATTTTACCTGTAAACCCTAGGATTTACCAGAATTCTGGCACTTTGCAGTCACATTTATCTATTTTTAAAAGCAAAATAAAGTTTGAAAAACGCATTCTAATAAAAAGAATATATCTTGATTTAACTTGAATTTAAACTATATAAAACATTTGGGATCTTGCGGTCCTTTTCCCATTCACCTTTAGCTTGATCTTTGTGGTGTTTCGATGAGGTTGTGGAATGCAAATAAAGTAAAGGAGTATTCATGTGGATCATTGAGGTTCTGACTGTGTATTTATATGCAGTAGGGGGATACAACTATATTGAAAAAGTATTAACTTTATCTAAGCTGATATGATGAAAATAAGGTTATGCATATGCTATTGATGTCAGGAATATGATGCATCACTGCAATAGTATGCTGCTATTGGTCTGAATATAGCTTGATATGTTTGTAAAAATGGTTGAGTTTTTAAAAATGGACTGGTAATTCATCTTTTTTTTTCCTAAAATTTATGTTGGAAAAACAAAACATATGAGCGTAGTATATTCCTTGCAAATAGAATAGGAGTATCAAGGTTAAGCAAATTTCACTTTCCGTTTACTATGATATCCTCAATATTGTTTCCCCCCAGTTTGTATATTCTCACTTCTTACTGAAATGTATTACTTTGGGGAAAAAGTAAATATTTTCATGACCATGGTAACGAAAAGTGGGGTGGAGAGTGGAGAAATTATGTAGCATTGAGACGATTCTGCTAATTACAATAAATATATTATAAACGTATTTTAGTAAAAAATATATTTTGATTTTCAGTTATGTGATTGCAGTTCATTTAAAAAAAATAGTTGTCAACACTAAATAATATCAACTTTACTTAAACTTGAAAATTGGATATAACCTAAAATGTGCGTTAATAAAATTGGACGTAGCACAAAATGTATTTCTTTAATGTTGAGCAATGATCCCAAATTCTTAACTCCAACAAGGGAAAAAAGCGTGTAAAAAATTTATGTAGGGATACGTTAAGTTTTTTCTAACCCTACGAATAATTGGTTAACTAGTATAATCGTTACACTACGAATAATTATCATTCCATGCGATTATTCAAAATTCACTAATTTCTCGTTCAATGATAGTCTCTGGTAATTCTGAGAATAGTCGACAATAATAAATCTAATAATAAAGGACATTTTGAGTCATACCTATTTTTTCAAATACACATTTCAAAGGGTACATTTTTATTTTAATGAGCATTTAGAGCTATATCCACTTTTTTAAATGCTCATTTCAAGGTATGTCTATGTACTTCAATAGGCATTTTGGGCGATATCCATTTCTTTTCACAAGGGGTATCTTTTTATTTTAATGAGCATTTGAAATTGATAATACTCAAAAGAGTATTATCAATTTCAAATGTACATTTCAAGTCATGGTGGCTCGGGATAGAGCGATTGCCCTCCAATGAGGTGACCGGAATCAAATCCCAGCGATGGCCGGTTGAAACGAATTCCGCATCCGGCTTGCACCGACCACAGTGCTGACATAAAATATCCCCAGTGGTAGACGGATCATTGGTTAGAGTCCCCTTGTCGTCAGGCTAACCATGGGAGGATTTTCGTGGTCTTCTTCTCCATCTAACTCAAATGGGGGTAAGTTCCCCCTAAAAGTCTTCCACGAAGGCAAATTTCTCCCATTACTTGACCGAGAAGTTCCCTTGTCTTCTGGATTGGGTTCAATAGTACAAGGCAGTGAAGTTGAACATTAGTAGTCGTAAACCTTAAAAATTGGGTCAACTGTTCAACGACGGTTATAAAATGCACATTTCAAGGTATGTCTTTTTACTATAATGAGCATTTTGAGCTATATCCAATATTTTAAAAAGAGCTTTCCAAATTATGTTACTCATTTTTTAAAAATATAATGCTGAATCTGTGTCATGTGTTAAGTTTAATGCTGAATCTGTGTCATGTGTTCAACCAATTTTTTTACATAATTTAATTTTTTATTGTTATTTTAAATTTTTTAAAAGCCTCACGAGATGCCTTAAAGAAAGTGGTGTTTCACTTAACTTTATAACCAAGAATAAAATATTAAAAACTAAATTTTGTTACCACAGAGCAAAACTTTCCCAGAACGTCGAGGAATATGGAGGTAGAAAATGAGAAGATACATTTTTTATTTTACAGTTGAATAAGTTGCTGTTAATGTTTAAATTGCCCATGAATATTAATGCGATAAATTTTTCAAGAAAGTAATTGTGAAAGAATTTATTTTAATTATGCATTAAAATATTACGTAGTTTTCCAGCTTAAGTAATTGAAGAATTAATGCAGACACTTACTTTAAAAGCAAAATAAAAATCCATCCCGATGTCTTTCACAAGCACTTCAGAACCATGCCAAAAATCAGTGTTATCTCCTTCTTCTTTCCATTTTGATATTTCGAAGTTTCCATACTTCAGCAGAATCTCAAGATTACCGACATCAATTCCATAAAGATAGTACCAAAATCGCATGCACGTTTTGGTAGGTCCAAATGTACCTGTAAACAACTTAGCAGTTTTTCCCATAGGAATTCGTTTTCTCGTGTCAACGTAAAAGTAGTTTCCGACAGCAGTTCCTAAAGTGTGATCAATACCAGGTCCAATGGATTGAGTGCCGTTACCTCTGTGCCATTGCAAATCGCTCAATGGATCATGAGAAAACCCACAATAATCTTGTTCAACGTCACAAATGTCTCGTGGAGGGCATGATTTCTCATTCAATTTGAACTCATCTAGAGAGATATCCCCATATTGGTTTCCATCTCCTTCGAATATTAATTTGAATGCAAACTTTCTTGCGATATGAACTTGCTCATATTTCCAATGAGGTCCTTGAGTGTTAGATCTAGACCATACCATTTCGGACGTATATTCATCGTGGAAATTCTGAATTTTTAAATACAGTGTGCCTGGATTATTTCCATACATATGGTACCAAAACTTAAAACAAATACCATCATCGCTGGCTTCAATCCCATCCAAAGAAATCAAGCGTGCTCTGCCAGAAAAATATGTCTTAGAGGCATCATTCAAACTTAAGTAGTGACCAATTGTTGAGAGAGTAGTTTTATCAGTTCTTGGTCTGATTAACTTTCTGTTAGAGTGACCTGTTTTTATCTCCCATTTCTCAGAACGTTCGGGATCATTTTGCCAAAGGCATAAATTCTGCTCAAAAGTACAGTCAAATTTTGATGGAGGATATAGAGGTGTTGTTTGTTGAACCACACTTGGCGTGGTAATTTCTTCTCCACACGCAAATTTATCTAGCGAAATGTCATCAATAGCTATTCCACGATGAGTTCGGCCATCTTGTTTACTCTCTGCGACAGCCATTAGTCCCATTTGAAACAAACCTTTAGAATTAGTGTTTGTTATATCAATTTCAGTTTTAGCCCATGCACCGGCGATTGCATATTCATTACGAATTCTAGCTATTTCATTCCAGCCGGTGCCAATAACCAATCGCTGAACAATTAAAGATGAATTTACAACACTGTACATATTATACCAGAAGGATACACAATAACTTGGATATAGCTCTAATTCTTCACTCAAAAGCAATGCTTGGGATTTGGCATTTAGACCTGTAAGTAAAGCATACATGTAATGCCCTTGACTATTTTGTAAACTGTGATCGAATTTTGGCCCCTCACCTATATTGTTATCTAACCCACTACGCCTAATCCAATCAAGTTCACTAAATGAATCAGAGTTAATCCAACCACAAGTGTCAATTTCGAATGAACACGATGCTGGCTCGGTGCATTTTCCGTGAACAACTTGAACATCGTCTAAAGTAATGTAGCCGTTTGGTCCAGAATAACTTTGTGCTTCGATGGTTATGTAAAAACTTGGCAGAGAAAGCATCGTGACTCTACCCAATTTCCATCCACCATAATGATATGCATCTCTTTTCCATAAACTTTTAACATTTTCGGCTCTGTTTTCTTGAGTTGTTCTCTGATAAACTGAGAGAGAGCCAATGTCATTCCCAAATATATTGTACCAGAACTTTAAGCACATATCACCGTAGTTTTTATACAAAGGACTTTGAAGTCTAGCTCGATCCCCCATACGCCTAAATGGAAATAAAATAAAATGACCTAATTCAGAATTTGTTGTATGATCTACGCTTGGTTTTTCTATACTCCAATTACCACTTCCTTGTGTGAGATTCCATCCACCTAATCCATCAAAACTATCTTCCCAACCACAAGAATCACCTTCAAAGTCACACATAAATGTTTGTAAACAAGGACCGTCAACCATTTTTAAGTCATCAATGGCAATATTTTTTTCCTTCCCAGTACTTACCATGGCAACTAAGTTTATTATGAAATCGGTAGAAAATACAGTATTGATTTCTGCAAAGAGCCATTGATTACCTTGAGTACCCTTTCTAGTCCAAAGAACTTGGTCTGAATAATCGTTCTGTATTTCAACAGAAAAAGATCCAACGTGTGATCCAAACATGTGGTACCAAAATGAGAAGCAACTCCCATGTGGTAAATTCATCGGCAATTTTGGACTTCGAAGCTTAGCTGTGTTTCCTTTTGCATTATATGTAGCATCAACATACAGGTAATATCCATTTCCCGTAGTATGATCAGTTGTTGGACCTGTAAAGTTTTGTATTGTTGATCCTTTACCACGTTTCCATTTTAAATCAGCATTCTTGTCCTGAGTCCAGAAGCACAGCCCCTCGTGAAAATCATTGTTATCAAAATCGCAGTCAACTAGAAGTTCGTCAGGATTACAATTTAAAAACTTTATCTCATCAATTGCAATATTTGTTACATGGGTAAAGTGAGACCAGTTAGGAGAAGTACTAAATCTAACTGTTCCTCCCTTTGAGGTAGATTCAGGAATTTTAACCTCAACCAGTTTCCATTCCATTTTAGTCTTCGATGGCAGTGACCAAAGTTTTTTGAAATTTCTTATGTTTGGAGGCTTGTACTCGATGAGGAAATCTCCTCCAAGATTAATACCAGCATAGAGCCATAATGCCATTACACAATGCGTTGAAGATGGAGGAAGTAAAGGGCTTACAAGGTTTGCACGTCTATTGAAAATTCCAGAAGAACGTTTAATGTAAGCATACCAACCATCAGAGGAGCCTTTATGATCTGTTGGTGGCCCGTATCCATCCAGTAGTGATGCCTTTTTTCGACTCCATTCAAAAGCTCCAGGATCTTGATTTCTCCAACCACAGAAATCATTTTCAAAGGTACAAGGTCCACACCCATCTTCATCAGAGCCATCGTAGCAATCGAAGGTGAAATCACACGCTTTGTCTTTGGATACACATAAAGGCTGACCAGCAGTGCATTTGAATTGCTCCTCCGTGCAGACTGATTTGGTTGGAAGAGGAGTTGGAATTGGTGTCGGTAATTCATTCGTGTACCTTTTGCAGCCATCTGAAAGTGTTATGTCATCAATTGCTACGGAGTCGTCTTTGTTGTTTCCTGGATTCCCTTCAATAATAAAATGAAAAGCTTCTTTGTCTTCTACTACCACTATCGCTCTGTTCCACATTTGTCCTAAAGAACCGAATTCTCTAAACTTTTCTTTCCAATTCCAGCCATTTTCTTCCACTTCATAATGTACTTTGATGAAAGATGTGTCAGAACCATGCATATAGTAATAGAAACGCAGTGAACAGTTTTGTAAATGTGATATGTAGTTGGGACTTTCATAGAAAGATGAGTTATACTTTATTTCAAATTCAGAACGTCTCAATACTAAATGTTTGCCAATTCCATTCAAGCTCTTTGTGTGATCAACAAGTGGTCCAGAGTTTCTAACTCCCCTCGATGATACTGAGAACTCTTCTCTCCACTTGTTCCTGAAAATATACTTGTATATTTCATTGAACTTTTTTTAAAAAACAAAATGCCAATTTACGTACAGGATTTTCTTAAGATAATAGTGCATAAGTTAATTGGGGATCGAACGCAATTGGACAAGTGCCTAACTCAATACAACCTAAGATAAAACTCTTTTTCACAGCGTTAGAGCTCTATTGAGTAGCCAGGCAAAATTTGACGAAGCCCGCGCACTATACCAAGAGTACTAGCTGAATAAATGTTGTTGCGTAAACCATTCTAATGTTTCTCCTGTACCCGGTCAAGCGTCAGAAGATACTCTTTCATATCTGTTGCAATTGCTGAATGGTTCTTGTATATGGGTAACGCCTTATTGGAAATAGTCCAAATATATTATAAAGGCTTTCTTTAACCCTGCGAATGTAATACTTGCTGTTGTTTTATTCGACTTGTCTCGTTTAGAAATATAATGTATATATATTTAACTATTACCATCCATACTTTGCATTATATCTGCCAAAATATGTACATATATAGAAACTGAACAAGCTTTGAAGAATAAGCATTATGCTTGAGAGAAAATATAAACTGTTCTTATATAAAGGGAAAAATAAAACATAGCAATTTTATTTTTTAGTATACATAGTTTTGGCTTAAAAGTAAAAAAGAATAACTTAAAAGAAATTTTGCTAAATTGCAGAAAAGATCGCCTTAATTATCCAAGAGTAATCAGTCAAAAAATAATTCAGTTTCATTTACTACTTTGAATTTATTAACCTGAGGCAATGATACTGATATGCAGATTAAAATATAATTTACTGGAATTAGGAATATTAAGAAGGAAAGAATAGTATTTCCGAAAATTCTTACTTTTAACATTTTTGCTTAAATTTTTAATTTTCAGTAGTTTAATCCGTTGGAGAACTTAAGCTTAATTCTTTGCATAAAAATGTCTATTTTTCTTCATCGTATGTACGCTCCTTTGTGTAATCAAATCCCAATCAGTCCAATAAAATGATGCAAGAGAAAAAAAGAGGGTAAAAATTAGTTTCCACAGAATTGTTTACAAAACTTTGAAACTATAGAGCTGTTCTTTATAGGATAACCGTTCATTTTAGCCTGGTCTCACAAAAGGCAGCCAGCCGAATTCTCGATGAAATGTTTTTGTAGTATTCTTATGCAATTGTCATACGAAAGCTAACAACTCTTACAGATTGAGTCAAGGGATTATGGAATTCATTTACATTGTTGAGTGCGAAATTTCATCTCCTACCCACAGCTATTTAAGCATTTTAGGATATTCTGTTATCTTTCATTTTATTGTAAATTTATTCTTTCAATAATACGCAGAGGAGAACCTGTATGAAAATGTAAACTGATATCAATATTTATGAATTATGATTATTTTATATTTAAAACTAAGTCTTGTCATTAAATTATTTAAATTTTCAGTTCCTTTATAGAGTTTAGATAATTTAAAGGAAACAAAAATGCAATTATAATTATTGTCAATATTCTTACTTTCCATAACCCTTTACAGTCCATTCACAGTCACTGCCTGCCTCAAACGTACATGGTCTTGGAAATCGAACACAGATTTTGGAATCTTCATCCGAGCCATCTCCACAATCATCAGTATAGTCACACAAGAAAGAATTTGAGATACACACGTCATTGCGGCACCTGAATTCATCAATTTCACACTTTTCTACCTTTTCTGGTAAATTGCAGTTCTGAAAAGTAATATCATCTACAGCTACATAAGTCTGTTCATAGGAGCTTTGATGAATAATTTCTATTACAAAAGGCTTCTCAGAAGTTCCTAAATATGCGATTCCCTTTTGCCAACCGCTATCTAGAATTCCTACGCGTTCCCATACAGTTCCAACAGCAGATGCACCAATTCTTTTTTGCACACGTATTCCAGCTTTAGACTTAAGTCTATGAAGATAGTAAAAGACCATCGTGCAAGAGGCATAAGCCATCTTGAACTTTTCAGTAAAGCTTTGCAAAATCGAAGAATGCCAGCTGTAATCAGGTCGAGTGTCGACTAGCATGAAAGATCCAGAGGAAGAATTAAAAGTGTGGTCATAACCTGGCCCATAGTCTTTAAAACCATCATTACCTGGCACTCTTAACCATTTTTTGTATGGTGGAGTGGTTATATCCCGCCAACCACAATCACCATGTTCAAAATCGCATTCACCACAATTTGCTTCATCCTCACCATTAGTACAGTCCTTGCTGAAATCGCAAACTTTGCTAGAATTGACATGTTGCCCATTCTTGCAATCAAAGGCCTCGTCTGGAATTTTATAACATTGTCCATTGTTTACTTCGATGTCATCTAATGCTATGTCACTCAATACTCCTTTAGTTCTGCCAACAAGCACAATTTGATATTCGTCATATTTTTCAAAGTCTTCGGCATTTATAGTAATTTGTCGATAAAACCAATTTTCTCCCTGATCACCCTCAGTATTCCACGATTGTTTGTTGAGGCTTTGAACATGATCATTATCATAATACGATAACTTTACAGAGAGAGATCCCATTTCTGCACCACTCATATGTGCCCAAAATATTAAACACCTGTCTCTTGATGCACTGAAAAACTCCGACTGTAAAATACCGACAAGATTTCGTTTCTTCTCAGGATTGTCTCCTTGGAGGTAAACATAGTAACCTATAAAATATATAAGTTGAGTTAACTAATAATTTCATTAGATATTACAGGGAAAAGAAAACAACTTGGATACGTGTAAACGCATTGATATGTAACAAATTTATAGATTTTTGATCTGTCTTCATGTGAATATAATACAAAGCTATAAGTAAGAAGCAAAATTTTCTGCTAAAGCCCACAACTCACATGCTAATATTTTATCCCATTCTTCAAATAAGGATTTTTTTTAACCACAATCACAAGATGATACGTAGAATGGAAGACTACGTTATACAGAATATAGGGGAAGATTCTTATGCTGTAAAATAGCCATAAAAACGCACCTTGCATCTTTGATTGCCCGTGATTCTACGTTCTGGAAAAAAAATCCCATTGAAAAATTCATTTTTTACTTCCAACGAACTTTTATGACCTATAATTAAGTTCTTTAGAGATAAAAAATATATCTAAAAAAAGCATATCTTAATATCATAATCTAATATAAATTGAGATTAAAATATTTGGTTTTAAAATTTGACCAAAGTTGCTTCTTTTCATCTCGTAAGCAGACATAAAATGGAACAAGTTCATAAATATTTCATTATTTACCTGTTTCGAGAGTATGGTCGCCATTTGGACCTGTGTTTGCTGTCGGTGTTGGACCAGTATTTCTCATCCACTTGAGGTCTACATCTGATTCAGCATTTTGCCATGAACACAAATCGTACTCGAAGTCACAGGAACCAGGAGGAGGGCATGCTCTGTCTCTGATGACGACATCATCTAGGGCCACAAATCCATTGACACCCCTGTCCATTGTTGCTTCAAAAACTATCTACGAAATAAGTATATACAAAGTGAAAAACTTTATATAATCGATGATATTTTTAAAAATATTAACTTTTTGAAAAAAGAGGTCAATAGAATGAATCACACCTATTCTAATAGATGGAGCTAGTGAGTACTAATAAGTCATGAGGACGCTGTTTTAAATATAAAAGGCAGTGACAAAGGTGCTTAATGATTTTTTTGCTTCTCAGAGGATTTATATATCCCTGAATTCAGGAAATAATAAAAATTTAAAGGACTTGTATATAAATATTTGCAGGAAAAAAAACCCATACAATATTCTTATTTTAAAAATGTAAAATGCAGTATTCATGAGAAATTCTAAACAATTGTCTTCAAACAGTTTTTTAAATTTTTTTATTTTGAAAGTATTGTTCTGATTAATCGACTTGTAAACTACGAACTATGGAGTAGTGTATATTTTAGAATTAAAATATTTTGTCATTATCAAGAGACTAAATGAATAAAGAATGAATAAAGAATGAATAAAGAGACTACTTCATGTATTTTCCTTATGGGCGTCGTAGGAGACTAATTTTTTTAGGGGGATGGAATTCAATTGCACAGTTACAATAGTTTTTGGAATTTCACACATCAGGGAAAAATTTGTTAAATGTGCTAAGTACCTTAATAAAGGTTAATTATTTTTTTTAAAAATCTCCTTCTTGATTTTAACTTTAAGGAATTAAAATTGATGATAGTTCAAAAATGTTTTAATATCTCTAAAATATTGAGGAGGACTTCTTGTTGAGGGAGACGTATTCCCACCGAACCACCACTAATATTGAATAAAAGCAAAGAATAAAATCAAAAAATAAAAGTAAAAAAAGGAATAAAGGTAAAATTTTTAAAGAAAATATTTATATATATGTATAACGGAGCTGAAAATATCATTTTAAGTGAACATTTGAAAGAAAAAAATGTAATTTAACAGATGAAGCTATAGAATTCACTAGGGAGAAAGGCATAAGAATAAATTAGATGCGAAATAAAGATTCAGAAATCAAATTTATAGTACGCTGCTTTAATGTCATTTTCACTGAAAATCTCAGATCGATGGATATGCAAGGAATCGTGGTATTATTCTTACCTCATGTACATACTGAGCGTCGATTGTTCTTTGTCCCATTCTCCAGGCATTGCTGCCATGTTTAAAACCATAGCTCCATAACGCAGATTGAGGTATGCCGGCTCCAACAGCTCGTTTGTAAATGTTCAAGGAGCGAACATCACTGCCTGATAACTGAAACCAAAACTGAACACAGCTGCTGTAAATACCAGTGTTTGGCACATTTGGTATTATAAGCCAAGCCTTGTTGTTCTTAGCTATTCTAGCAGTGTTCGATGGTCTTATTAGCATGTAGTGACCTATAAATAATAACAATGCTGTTTACTCTCTCCCAAACAGAAAGATCAAATAAAAAAATATATATTCTGAATAATGGAAATGATAGATCCAGAGATGTCAACTTTCCAAACTAGATATCAGTTATTAAAAGTACGATAACACAGAAATTTATACAGTTAACGTTAACGAAATTCAAATTAGAGCAATTTTGTGATGTATATATTACTTAATTCTATATAGATGTATGAAATTAATAAAATTATGCATGAATTTACTATTAAGTAAAAAATATTAACATTCGAAAAAAGATACTAAATTAAAAATCATACACAGAAAAAAAAAGGATGGTCAAAAGTATTAGAATGTGATTAAAATCTCCGTCTTTCTGGCTCTATGGAGGTACTAAAAAGCACTGTAATTTTTACCGATATGCTTTGGTAATATTAACAATAAAATATGATTTTATAATAAGTGATAAAATTTGATAATTTTACTATGATATTTTGGAGCATGGTATAATAATCATTAATTCGGTTAAATTCCTTTTTTAGTTCGAATTTTTTACTAAATGTGTGGTAATAAGAACTATTAGTTTAAAAACCAGAATTTATTATGTTCTGTTGCTTTTCTATAAGAAGAGAAGATTAAGTTTCGTCATATATTCTTGGAAGGGGAAAATATGATATTTCTTTGCTTTTATATATAACTTGTTTCCATAAAATCGTTTTTGTTTTGTATTTAATGTTTTAAGAATTTTTTAAAGAGTAGAAATTTTTTTTCTCAGACTGGTAGCAAACAATGAAATTTCATAACTCTACGTAAATGGAAAAATATTATTTTAAGCAGATTATTACGGATTTTTATTACTCAACCATAATTTTAATTATAAAATCTTAAACATTAAGGAGAAATCGTAATAGTTGGCNGGAAAATATGATATTTCTTTGCTTTTATATATGACTTGTTTCTATAAAATCATTTTTGTTTTGTATTTAATGTTTTAAGGAAGAGAAATTTTTTTTCTCAGATCAGTAGCAAACAACGAAATTTCATAACTCTACGTAAATGGAAAAATATTATTTTAAGCAGATTATTACGGAAATTCTCAAAGACTGTAATTTTTATTACTCAACCATAATTTTAATTATAAAATCTTAAAAATTAAGGATAAATCGTAATAGTTGGCTCCTCTTTTTATATACCAATATTCAAAATTAGAACTCAAAATCGATTAATTAAAATTATTGTTTAATACCTTCATTGGTTCCGTAAGTCTTATCGATTTGAGGTCCATTCTTCAAGTTTAACACACTCTTTGCTTGCTGTCTCTCCCAGAAGATCTTATCATTTGATTGAGTCTTGAAGCCGCAGAGGTCTGCCGACTCAAAATCACACGGTTGCCCTTCTAAAATTTAATTAAGTAAAAATTCATAAAACATGTTAACTGTTAAATATTAAACGGTCAAATATTTAAATGACACAGTCATATAGGGTAGACCAGTGGTTTCCAAACTCTGGTACGATATCTCGCCTTCTCGCACTTAATCCAAACCCAAGTCGGTGTCAAAACTCATTGAATATCACATAGGTTATCGACGCATGTATCAACATTACTAAACAAATTAATGTATCAACAGTAACATCAGAAACATTTACACTATTTCTTATTTTATTCTTATGTTGCTGTTATGCAGTGGATCCCTTCACACGTCGATCTTGAAGGTAACGAGATTGCGGACACTTTGGCTAAAGCTGGTCCTCTGTGCCGTCGGTACCCCTCACCTTTTTGGAAATTTTCTAAAAAATAAAACACAAAAATAAGATCGCTTGGAGTGTCCCCTCAAAGCATCCATGGTGTTCCGTCATCAATAAACAGTTAGTTTTAATAATTGTTTTAAATCGTCTGCCGATATAATAACTGCAACTCCAGCTGGCTGCTAGGAAACCAAACGACTTTTTCTTATTATTAATGTTTTTGTTTATCGTTCGTCTGTGTATGTCTGTGGAAATAAAAGAATGTAAAAGCTCACACATGGTATCAGTGTTCTCGACCTGGAGGCTCCCTGGCCCAAGGTTTTATAGACAGGAACAAGCGCTTCTTGCCCGCTTTCGAAGTGGTCACCTTAAATCAATGAAATTTTCGGAAGAATCCAAGAACTTTGAAATTTGTACCAACTGTTCTTCAGAGCAGGCTTCGCCTCACCCCATCCTCGCATGCCTGGGGCTCTCAAAGCAGGATTTAGCAGATGATCCATTGACGGTGTTGGATTTTTTGAGGGTTTATAACGTCATGGACCTTTATGGACCGCCATTTAGCACTGCTGGCCAATGGGGGCGTGCAACAACAACAACACTATTATTACATAAATTTAAAAGTGCTTTTAAAACAAATAATAAATTACGGAAGCTAAATAAACAGTTAGTAATCTTGTTGTTTCTAATGACACTTGGACATGCCAAGCTTGCGAGCCATTAGTCTCTTGCGACTTAAATCAGGATATGCGTTTCTCGTTTGATGAGTACCTCACGGATGGATAGCAACAGCACTCATTAGTGAGGCTTTGTCCTCAATTTAGACATAGATCTGAAAGGAAAGAAAATTTTTCTCTAGATCCTTGTACTCATGGTATGGCTGAGCGATTGACCACACGACTTTCGATTCCGCAGATTTTGCAAGCACGTATATCGCATGTACTCGGTGGGTCTCAGTGGAGTTAAGTCTCTTTCGGATCGAAATCTGATTTTCTAACCACTAGGCTACTATGACCCAGTAATCTTGCCTTAAAAACCAAACTATGCTTGAAGATTGCTACTTTAAGGTTGAAATTACAACGAATAAGCATACATTTAAAAAGATTGGGGATAAGCCACACTTTGAGAAAGTTGATAGTTTTTATTTTTACATCGAAATGTCCTTAGGGTTTCCTAGATATTCCTAGATAGTTACCTTTCAGTACTCGCTCTAGATGTTAGCACAATACAAAGAAACATCTCATTGTTTACATGAAAATCGTGGTGCTTTTCAGAAAAAAAAACACTCTCTAGATAATTGGAAAAGGTGGCTCATCCATATACTTCCCCAAACCATTCGATTTCATCGTACTTTTCAATCGCCCTTTGTACTTCTACATTACGGAACGCAAAAAATAAATAAATTAATAATAAGTTATAACAAAATAAGTAAAATAATCAGTCAGCAGTATTTTAACTCATAATTATCTCAACTAATTAATTTTTGTTTAATGTCATCATTGTTGCACAATTTGTGTTAGTCAATACTTACTAATGATCGGACAACTTCCAACATTGATTGAAAAATCATCTAAAGCGATGTCTCCAGTTCTTTGTTTTTCCATAGACGCTTTGAAAACAATGGATGAGTTGAATGATTTTTCTAAGGAATATGAACCATAATTCCATTTGGCATCAGAGCTCGATTTCTTTACCCATAAAGGTCCTTCAAGTTTTTCACCTAAATTAGGTGCATTTGGCTCATTAATGTTAAAATTTTTCACCAAAAATGTGATCAAAAATGACTGACTTTTTGAAAAGTCGTTTAAATATAAACGGAAGGTGATAAAAATACACGATTTGCTATGTTCTGCTAAGGGAATCGGTTAATTTATTTAATTATTAAATTATTCTATTATTGTCCTTAAGTTTTATTATTAGTTACAAAATTCCTCAAGTGGTAGTGCAGTTTCTTGTATTTTTTTCTTTTAAAAAAAGTTTTCTGTTGTATATTTTATCATTTCAATTAATATATTTACAATAGTGTCAGTTAATTTTGCGCTTGGACTGTGTCCTGTTGTTGCTTTAAGTAGTGATTATTTTAAAAACAATGCTTTGCAGTTTATCTAAATTAGAAACGCCATCTGTTAGCAAACTATGTAACTTAGTTGAAACTTTAGCGAAATAAATGATCTTGTTTTTGAAGCAGAACGCAATAATTTTTACATTTCTATGCTCTTTTGCTCTTGGTTTATTTATCGGAATACCTAGCAGCTGGTATATTGTACAAATGCAAATAAATAATGATATTTTACACTGTGTGAGAAACACATTTTATTTCATGCAGCTACGACGTTTTTTAGTAAAATTACATTATCGTTACCAACGGATAAAAGGAGATTAAAAGAAAAATTTCTAAAAATTAATATGCATATTTATTTCTATAATTTACTTATTTCAAGAAAAAATATAACTGAATATCTAAGTGTTACATGGCATATTAATAAATATATTTATAAATATAATTATAAATATATTTACATTAAAAACTATGTTGTTGCGAAGGCAGATTTAGTTCATAGACACAAATTAATCAGAACATTCCCATGCTGGCACCTATTTACGCCACTCCCTGGTTCCTTGTAGTTCCAAACAGTTAAAACTTAGATGTCAATTATGGGTTTACACTTCTGCATCTACGAATTAGTCTCTTTCTGTAATTTTTCAATTTCACACTTAATACTGCCCACTGTTGTCAAAACTTGGTGACTGGCTTAGAGTCGAATACTGATAAGAAAATATCCTTTAATTACCTGCGATCCATTATCACAGAACTGTAACCACTCTAATTATAGACTTTAAAGAAAAAGTTAAGCACTTTATGAATTAGTTTGAATAAATAGATATATTTCAAACGTTACTGCCTTGAATACTCTGAACATTTGGGTAGGCAATTTCCCAATGGTGACAAAGCAATAAAATTTAAAGCTAAATTAAACTTACCCTTAAGAAGATATATATTTAGAGTAACAGGAACTGGGCTGTGCATATAAAACCAAAACTTAAAGCAGTAATCATAATCGGCCACATCCATCAACTTACTCACCAACTCATTATCTGTGTTGTTTATAGGATGATAATACGCATATCGACCTAAAAATATGAGTTTAAAAAACACAATATTGAAAGGTAACTAAGAAACATTTATGAATTCAGTTTATCACTGCTTTTAACTATCAAAAATTGTAATTACCTAAAGCGTTTCCTTTGGTATGATCGTAAACCGGTCCCATTTTCTTCAAGAATGCTTTTCTCCCATCTTGAACTATCCATGAGTTACCTTGTTCCCAACTACAGAAGTCACCGGTTTCGAAGTCACAATCCCATACGGTTGGAGCTGGAAATTGGTCAGGTCTTAATTACGATGATTGTCATAATACATTGAAAACTGGAAAAACACATCGGTCATAATCTCTAGTTCGGTCATAATCTCATTATGTCCAGATCGGTTATAATCTCATTATGTGGGATAAGAAAAATTCTTTTAGATTGACGTGTATGAAGAGATTAGAGGAATTATAATGATAAGTCGCATTTACAATTTGTTCCGGAGACAAGTTTGAAGAAAAACACAATTTATTTGTAGAAAAGTTTCCGCTTATTGTAATGTTATCCGGTGTAAATTCCAGTAAATTGCCCTGTAAATATCTAGATATAATGCTAAGGAAAAACTGGATGTAAAAATCTCACTTAAGGGAAAAATCATTGCTTATAACTTTATTGATCCTGGTCCTTCATATGTGAAAGTTCGCCAGAACATGTGAAATACTTCAAATACAAAACCTAATTTCTATTAAAAGATGTAATAAGGATGCTTAGCTGCTTAAAGAAAATATCTGAAATGGTCAAATGTTACTTATTGATTGGTAAGCTAAACTGCAAAAATTTGTATTATTGCATATTTTCTTACAAATGAATTGTATGGTTGAAAAGAAATAAAGAAAGCACAAATTATAAGTCGGAATAACATTCTGTAATTTGCTTTGGGACTGGTCTCCAAGAAACTTCTATAGTTAAAAAGTTGACTGTAAATATGACGGAAAAATGTTCATTTAAATACTAAAATCATTACTTTTTCTAAGAAAACAGATAAAATTTTTTTTCATCATATTTAGTGTCGCGCTTAAAAACACTTTCATAAAAATACAGGGTTCAGGGTTCCAAACCACACAAATCCATTCCCAGTAATAGAAATTTATGAACAAACCCAGTTAAATTCTTCATTTTTACATTCTGAAATGGCTGATATGCTTCAAAGGGTTTAATATGTAAAGATATGGATGTTACTCGAATTTGTTTAGTATATAAATTTAATTTATAAATATATCAGTAGTAATCAATAATTTTTGTTTGTCCTTTGATAAGATGGTTAAAGTCATAACTTACGAAATTTAGTTGGTTCAGGCGTAGTAGTGATAACGTCATCACATGTATCAGGTTGAACGGAGATGTCATCCAAAGCAATGTCACCACCATCACCTTTTATTCCAAGGAATCTAATCTATAAGTAATATTTTTTATTGAATTTTTTTTAATTCATCATTCACTTTTTTATTCAGTAAATTATTCATCATAATTTATAACGAATATAAATAGAAGCCCTATACGAATAATTTCTACTTCCAATGTCCACCATATTGCTGATCTCTTTTTCGAGGGCACCCTATAAGTGTATCAGCGTCACCCCAACAACACGAAAAAGAACTGATAGAACAGAGAGAGAAATTGCATCCATGCCTGAAGCCGGATTAAAACCTGGGACCTTCATAGTAAAGAATGTATAAGTGAGAAGAAGATCAGCTCTCATAAGTCCCCATGTAAACCTGTTCTGGAGGCACCGGTTGACTTCATCGAGGTGTGGAAGTATTGCTAGGAAAACAACCTCCCTCCTCACTCCATAAGCAACCCCGTTCCCCTCCGCTCGTGATTTTGCTCTTTACAGACATAAATATGGTTTTGTAAAAGGCTTACTTATTAAACAAGGAAAATATTTACTCGTGACGAATTTATTAAAAAAATATGTAACTTATTATTTTAACATAGGTGTATAATTTAGTATAGGTCAAAGAGAATTCAATGACTAGGACTTTTTGAGAGAATGGAGGAAAACAGAGGCACTAAGAAATATTGAAGGGACAGTGACAGGACTAAAGGTAAAGAGGAAGGCCGGCCGAAAGATGGTTGGACAAGTCGGAGAAAAACCTTACTACTCTAAAAGTCCGAAACTGGAAACAAAGAGCTAGAGACAGGCGACTTTGGAGGAAAATTGGTAGTGAGGCCAAGGTCCAACATGCACTGCAATGGCAGGGAGTTTGCTAGTTAGTATAATTTAAATAGATATCGGGACAGTCACTTTAAAGATGGAGAAAAATGTGTTGTTTAAACAAGTTTAGAGACGCTACCATGGATGAACGATGTGCGCACGAGTCGGCTCAAAAACCTTTGGGGCTTTTCTTGTCATACAGAAGGACCTATAGCAGGTCCCAGCTACGTATCGAAGAAGTTAGACTTCTTCTCACATTATTCTTTGTTCTTGGTAAGAGGTCAACTCCTTGACCAGCATACGGGCCGGAATAATAACTGTGGAGATTTTTTGTTGTTGTTGCATTAATACAAATACTTGATTTTATCAAAATCGGGTGTTGAGATTTCAAATCTGAAATAAACTTTGCTCAAAAAGATGCATACTATTTTTCAAAATGTTGTTTTTAAGTTTAGTTCATTTTTGTCTGAATACAAAACTTTATAAAGAACGTATAAGTTGATATGCATGCATATACACGTTTTTGCTCCTTTGAAAATAACACTTATAGACAAAAGGCACTCGACTTTAGTGACATGTATTATTGCCTTCTTTCTACCACTCTCTACGTTACGGAGAAGTGGGGGCACCTAGTATTCACTCGAGTGAACCGATTGCAGAGTTTAAATCAGCGCAGCAAAAGTATCTAAGATCAGATCAAAAATCTCATGCAACAAAAAACAAGAATAGAAAATTTCCCTGTGTAATTTTTAAGAAATTATACTTCAGTGATTTGATGATTAAATAGCTTTTCTATTGCATGTTCACAGGAGAAAACTTTTAAAAAACGGTGACAAATACCGAATCATACAAATGTATCCCTCTGAATAAGAGGCTTTCTTGGCAAAATTACAGCGCGGTTAACCCCAGTTAATAATGATCAAAAATCAAAATTAGTCGGAAAAAAGGTATATTTATTCCGATAAAGTAAGTAACTTAATTAATTGTTAGCACTAATTTATAATCAAACTAGAAGCCACCCTTTTTAATCAAGAGGATAAACGTTTAGAGTAAAATGGATTCTTCAAGCAAATTTTACTTAAAATGACTTTAAATTTTTTTTTATTTAGAGCATTCTATACATTCCTATCTCCTATCGTATATCCTATCCTATTGTATCCTACTGTTCCCATTGTATCCTATTGTATACATTCCTGTTCTGATTATCAAAAATGAGAATAAGTCGAAAAAAAGTAGGTTTTTTTTCTCGAGAAAGTACGTTTTTGTGTACGATTTAGTAACCCAATTAATTTGATAACGTTATATTTGAGATTACCCTATTGAATCATTAAGATTGGCAATTAGTTCGTAAAAACCCGATCATTTATATAAATTGAGCAATTCATTAAAAGAACTCATTTAATTAAGAAAATATTGAAATATGAATTCTCATAAAGGGTACCACAACTGGTAAAAATTTAAAAATTGGTAGAGAATGATTAAAGAAATAAATTGAATTTTTACTAATTCCTTTATATTTTTAAATAAATATATATATATTTCCCAATGCCCATTTGGAGAATGAACTTTCGCCATACGAAGGGCTGTCCACTCTCGGCCACTCTTTCAGGGGCACCATATTAGGTGGGCCAACGTTGCGCTCACAATAAGGACAGATAGTACAGAGAAGGAAAGAAAATCCATGCCTTGCCAGGGATTTGAACTCAGAACCTTTCTGATGCAAGGCCAGTTCTCTGACCCCAACACAGACTGGTGGGTTTTAAATATACTATATAGTATATTGAAATAAATAAATATATTTTATAATATATTAAATTAAAATTTTTTTATTATAGCATATTAAAATATATTTGTGAAACTAACCAACTTAATTTCTAAAATTAAAATGACATTAACTTCTTTTAAACTTCTAGCAGCCTCGTTAAAGAGTTATCACCACTGTTTAAATTTTGCCCGGTTGTGGCTACTCTGTTATACCAAACTTACCCTGTATACATCGGGTAAATTTTTCACCAATCTCTTCACCGGATACCAGTTTCTTCCTTGGCTTCCTGATATTGTCAACTCATACTGTGCTTTACTATTATTTTGATTCACATATGCTAATTGCAAAGAACCAGTTCCTACAACAAGGAAAAATTAAGATAATTATTTATTATTTTTACATCATTATGCATGGATTTTATGGTGCTTGTCTATGATCAAACACACACTTATAATTAAGTAGCATGGAATATATATATNTTTCATATGTTCTTTTTTGCTATATTCGTCTTCGTTTTTTTACTATAACGCTTCGAAACCCCGGAGGGAATTATGAATAACCCTGTATATATATAATTAAATTTTTATGAAAATGATTAATTTAGTTGTGTTGTGCTAACTTATACTAATATTATGTGTTATTATTCTTACCGATTAGCAATGTTTCTTATTTAGCAGGCTAAATTGGCAATTTTTTCATTGCTCGCATTTGTTTATACTCGCTTTTATTTCGATAACATGTCTGAACGTAAAGACATTCAAAGTAATATATTTACTCTTTCTTTATAGATAATATCAAAGCTTGAAATGTACAGTAAAAGAGAAATGCAAATTTCGTTTACGGTTCAATATGGCATCTTACATTTTTATCTTTTGTATAAAGTATTTTCATATCAAATATCTTTTGCTCTCCTTTCTCAATTGAAAAATAAGTCATAAATAGTTTATAGTCAAGTTAGTCAAAAATAGTCATAAGTCAAAATTTTTGCATTAATTTTAATGTGACATCTCATTTAAAGTTTTCTTAAGTAGCAGATTCATATTTTCTGTACAAGAACAACAAGATACGAAAAACATTGTTAAAAACAAATGCAAGTTTTCTATAAAACTCTATCTCAATCATTCCTAAAAAAATGTTTTTTACCTTCTCCGTACATGTGATACCAAAATCTGAAGCAGGCATTCGGAGAGAAATGCATATTTTCGCTTTCCAGTACTGCTGTTTGTCCAACGTATCCAAAATTTCCATCAATATAAATATACCACCCTGAAAAAATGAAATAGTAAATAATTATGTGATTTTATTTGGATAGTATTTTAAAAGCTTATTGGGTAAAAAAAATTTACAGATTTTTCTAATATTCTTGAAACATGAAATACATTGTTATTCCATGAGTTTTTTTTCTGGAAACCATTTCTTATTAGCAAAATCTCACCTTCAGCAGTTCCTGTCGTGTGGTCAAACGATGGACCAGTACCCTTATTTGGAGTGCTGCCAGAATTTCTAATCCATTGAAGACCGGTACTGATGGGTTGTGGTAAGTTTCTCCAAGTGCAAAAGTCCTTTTCAAAATTGCAACTTCCGTAAGCAGGGCAGGTTTCGTCTTCGACAGCCAAATCATCCACAGCAACGTAAGTGCCTTTCGTTTTCTCTGCATACATAATAATCTAAAAAAAAATATTATAAATGATCTTTGTATAAAGATTTAGCTAAAACTTTAGTCATCAAACCCGGGCAGAACATAAGAGAAGAGAATAAAAGATGAGCAGGAGCTCAAATATTGAAGACAGTCCTCGAGTTTCAAAAATTGTTCTCAAAAACTTTCAGCCTATTTGATAACATTAAATATCCTCAAATCTTAGCACGTCCTATAATATCTGTGAATTTCATCGAAAACATCTCATCTTCTTTTATAGGCAGTGAAATATCAAAAAATCAGAAGTGCTCATGCGTTTTTTAATCAAGATTGTTTTATCTTACAGAGAATACAAACAAAAATAAAAAAATAAAATATCATGCTAAATTTATCCCATCGTCGGAAAATAACTTCAGACAGGTTTTTAAAGTCATGTGCTTATTTATTCTACATATGTTAACCCTATGGGTTAACATAGGGTCAACATACATACTTTTTTAATCAAAAACTTACTACCAGAATTTTTAATTTGGCTGTTTCCTTTTAGTTCCGAATTTAAATCAACTGGACTTGAAGTGTTAATCAACTGTAAAATATCATATCATAGATCAAAATTGTTCGGTAATGAAATACAAGATGATTCAGTACCTGCCATTTGTAATGAATTAAAATAATTCTTTGCTGGACATATTAATATTTCCCATAACTATATGGGTGTCCTCAAATCGTAAACGTTTTTGAGCACGCTATGCTGATTGGTTCTCATTGCATAGTTTAGAAATCTGCTCATCTTAAGAGAATATACCTTTGCTACTTGTAATTTATTAACATAAATAAGGAAATTTCCCCATGCCTGTTTCGTACTCCTATCTCACCTATAGTTAGAAATCAATATGAAAAGTAGGTAGGTAATTTGTGTATTTAGCCCATTTACCTCTTCGAGGTGGTGAGTCATACATGCATTCTCAGGGTAGCGGCAATCAGGGTAAAAAATAAATAAATCTAGTAGTCAAAATATTTCGATATCAGTTTATTTGGGGGGAAGAGTAATAAAAGTTTAATTTACTTAATATATCACTACTTAATTCAAAATTAGAATTATATAGTTACACTTTGAACTATTATTAATTAGATATGTTAGAATTAAACTGAAAGCAAAAATAAGACTGTTAAATTATAAAAAAATAAGCCTTGTCTAAATTAAGACTTCCGCTTTTTATTTTTTTCCATTCTGATTCCGTACGAACACATGACTCACCCGTCCCGAAAAGGTAGTGCTAATAGAATAAGTCTAGTGCTTAAACCAGGGGTGAAAGCGAGACGGAAAAGAGGAAAGGCTGGTAGTAAAACCTTTTCAGTTATAGCTAGTTTTTTGGGAGGAGTTTACCTATTCTTTTTATAAATTAATCAGCAATATCTACTTTGTCCTTAATTAGAAGCAGTTTTATATATATGCTAAAATTATAAAAGAAATCTTGGTAGTTACAGATATTTTATTTTTTTCGAAAAAAATGCTGGAATGAAATGTCTTACATACCAGTCTTTTCTCTTTTCCGTCTTGCTATTTAAGGGCTTTCAGCCATGGCTTAAACGAGTGGTTCCTTCTTTCATGAAAGAAAAAAAACTGGTAGCATAAGTGCTTCATAAAGATGGTTCATTTTGCATGAAAAAAATTCTGTCTTCTATACAGGGTTGCTAATTTTCTACACTTTTCGGGAAAATAGCTTCGAATGGTAATTAAGTTTATGACGGGATGCCAACTGCTCCACTTTCTTCAAAAGTTTTATTAAATTAGAAGTGAATTAAATACTCGTAGTAAAACTTGTAGAATAAGCATAATTACACCAACTCTTTATAAACTTCACCGCGAAATAACTGAAATAAAGCTACATTTCATTTGATGCCTTGAAATTTTGATATGTAATGCTGTAAAAATTACTCATAATGAAAAATTCAAAACTGAAAATAACTTAAATTTCGTTACCACTAGAAAATATTTCTTTACAAAGCGGATGGTTCCATCAAAATATTTTGTTTCTAGTGCGATTCATAATGGTCCAACATAATTTGATTGTCACCATCATCCAGCATTTTCTATTATGCGTCCATGGTTTGATATGCCAACAAACTTCCACCTTTCCATGATGGAAAATGCTTCTTTAATACTATGATGGTTAACCATCTAGAGAAGTTTGATTCTCATGGATCAAAAATCATTTGATTTCTAAGAAACTATGATGGAAATTACTGAGAACTCAACATGAACAAACCATCGAAACAAATTGCTATTCTTAAGTTGGACCATCATAAATCAGTCCGAATTCCAACATTGAGGTGATGGTTACTTATGTTGGTTATTATCAAAAATACAATAGTTCAAAATTGAATTATTGATGGCTACCATCAAAATTATATTGGTCCATAAATGGAAAACTATCAAAAATTTTGACTCGGGTATGTTCTAACCCGTGAATGCTTGATCCCAAAAAAAGTGGTCTACTTATGAAAAGCCCCAAATGCGAAAAAGTGGTAGTTCATATTTGCTTGCTCCAAGTGGATGTTTCTTTCTGCTATTTACCATATTAACTCTTAAAAAATGCTTTGACTTTAGGTTCAGATATACATTTTTGTAATAAATATAAATTATAGTAGTAAATATTATCTTGTTTCTGCAAAGTAAATTTTAATAATGAAACACTTGTGTCACCATTCTTTTTTTCGTTTTTGAATAAAAAGAACAGTCATCTTAAAATCTTCAATCTTCTTATTTTGATATAAATGACTTGTTTACTATATAAAAGAGCTGTCCTTTTTAAGAGTAAAACTATTTCAAGCAAGCGCCACTTGGAGGGTTAATGGAGTGTCATTAAGCTTCGACTCTGGCCTTCCACGTGGTTCATTTTCAAGACTTTTATCCCCATCTTTAAATTTTTTATACCAACATTGAATTGTCAGCTCATTAACATTAGGTTTACGGGACGCGTCATTTTGAGGTATTTCGAATTTTATAAAGAAAATTACAAAACCCGTTTGCATTTTTATTTAATGTCTTGTAATGACTTTTATCCATTGATGGAGGTAAATATATATTGAAGTCTATTTTCTTCAAAAGCGGTGAAATATTGAAATTCTCTTTGTGGTATACCTATCTCTACGGATATGCGTCAATTTGACGCTATCGTAATTTAGACAAAATTTTGAGTTATCCGATATCGTTATCTCAAATGAACTAAGTTATAAACAACTGTTGCCGTTAAGCAATAATAGAAAGAACAAACGCAGAATGTCAATTGATGTCAGATTTTGAAGGTTTCAGTTGCTTAGTTCGAGTATTGAAAAATAAAATACCAGAATATTTCATAAATATGTATCTCATATTTTCATTTTTTTCTTGTAACATGTAATTACATTGCTTTCTAAGTGCAGATATGCCAATTGCTCCGAACACGCCAAAGTAATTAATAATAACGGTAAATAACTACTAAATAAATTTTGCAAATATAAAGCGGTGAATTATGTAAGCCTATGAAATATTTAGAAATAGTGGTGGGTGAAATTCTACTAAATAGAATTTATTAAACCAAGAATCACAATTGATAAACTACCACTTTAAAATATATATTTGCTGCCCGGAGCAAGTGCGTATCTCTCTGTAAGTGCTATTATATGTATTCGTTCATGCGTCAAATTGACGCGTGTTCGTAGTGATAGGTATATAAGAAACGTCCGTAAACCTAGTGCTAAGTGTGGCTTTACCGAATACAGCATTACTGTTTCTAGAAGTTACTGAACCGCTACGACCACTTTAGAATTCACAAAAGAACTAGTACGCAAATCGCGAGTATTCATGTATAGAAATCTGTGTCTGAAAAGATATTAAAAAGAAAATGCATAAACATTTTGTATGATAAGAAAAAGCACGTAAAAAGCTTTTGAATAATACACAATATTATTATATTTCATAGACATTTATACAAAAAAAAACAGTTTAACAAAGTTGCTTTAAAAATCCAATGTATGTAACAACATGACAGAAAGCCAAATAAAAGGGTAGGACAAAATTATGGAGACATTCCTGTAATTACTCTAAATAAGCAATCTATCTTTCAAAAGCAAACGCTTCGGAAGATTTTACATGGAGAAATTAAAAAGTCATGCTAGAAGCTTTCTAAAATTACGTCATTTTTACCCATGAAAAGTTCGGATTGGCCTAAATGAGGAGTGGAAGTTAATATTTGCATGGGTAAAAATGACACCATTTCTAAAAGCTTCTAGTATCACTTTTCAAGTTGTACCATGTTTTGTCGCAAAAAATCTTTCAAAACATTTTCTACTAAAAGAAATATTGTTTACATGGAGTTAGTATAGAAGTGTTTCCTGACCCTGGATCTTTTCTCTCATTTTTAACATTGTGTTGATAAAATCGAAACTAATTCTAGTTTGATGAGAAACAGACCTGCTCACATGCATGACTGCGGGGAAGATTCTCGGTTTAGAAAATATTCAATATAATGTAGTGACAATGTAAAAAATGTATAAATACTTTCTGCTCTCTCTTAAAATTAATAACCAGGATTTTCCAATTTGAAAACAAATGCTTCTTTATTA